TGAGCAACGCATGAGACCAATTTACTTGTCATCAACCTGAGGGATATAGAACCTGCATACCTGCTCTCACAAAAAAGGCCTCTTCTGTCTTCTAGATTTCTCCTCTGCACCCCGTCCTCTAAATCTTCTCTTCATTCATTTGCCTCCTTCCCCAATCTAAGATTATTGATCTTGTACAGCATAATTTTGATTTTGATTTGCTGGAAGACATTACACCCCGTGTGAATAATTTGTACAACAACAATTCTCTGGTAAATGAAGTGGTGCTTAAGGTGTCTGGGATGTGACTTGCAATAATGATAAGGTGTCCTTTGGTAATGAAGGCCTTTACTCACAAGGGAGACACAAGGAAGAGGACAGGCAGACAGGAATGGGTGTGGGGTGGCTCTGCCTTGGTCTACTGAATCTCTTGTCTAAAATTACACCTCAAGGCAACAGAACTGGGACTGCATTAAAACCCTTTGTGAGGATAAGTAGTATATAAGACAAAAAAAGAAGAAAAAAAAAACTCCCCCTCATCCATTTTCAATTTTCTACCTCTTTCTCCTACTTTGTTTAGTTTTTTTTAAAGATTTAAAAAATTAGGCTCTCTTTGACTGTGTGCACATGTGCATATGTGTACATCGGCACTCTTTGAAGGCAGCCAAAGCTCCTCCTGCATTGTGAGGAAGGAGATAATTCCCCTCCGCCTTCATGCTTTTCGTTTTTCATCCCTCCATTTCTGCATGGCAACAAATTAACAGGTCTAATTAGACCAGAGGAGACCTATTCATGGCAGTGACAGTGGGAGATGGATGCAGGGGCTTTCACACAGTCCTTCCCCTTTGTCTTTGGCTAACGCTTTGTGACATTTTGATAGAAGATATGGTATTAGACTGAGAGGCCACATACTGGGACTGAGCTGACTTTCTAGGAGACCTCAAGGAATGGACACACAGCTAAAGTTTCCCGCTGCCCCTGACTTTGTTGTTTGACTTCTCTAGCTCCTGTGGGTCACCTTTAGATTCTGACTCTGATGTTATCAATTGTGAGATTGCCCGAAATCAGTTCCATCATACCAGACGGTAAAACATTTTGAGAAACACATTAAAAAAGACACTTATGCCTAATCCTAGCGTTCAGAAATGCTGTAAACTCTCACCACACCGTTGGAGAAATTTGCTGCCTTTGCATTAAATGTCAGACAGTTCAAGCAGATCCTTGTGTAAGCAAAGGCGGCAGCGTGGCGACGCTGCAATTACAGGTTTGTCATATAAGAGGCTGCAACTCAGATTAACGCACGATAGCTTGACAAGAGGACAAAAATAGGAGGAGACTCTGAAATCACCACCTGCTCACTAGCTCAGGTCCAAAATGTTTTCGTGTTGTTGTTACACTTTACACTGCATCAGCACATTTGGAGATTAATTTGCTTTAAAAAAAAAAAAAACTAAATTATCTCAAACAAATGTAGTTGGTGAGTTTTGCAACAACATAACTGTTTTTATTCATTCTTAAGTTGTCTTTTTGAATTCTGCAAAACACATTGCACAACTTCCTGTTGAAATGGAAGCATGATATGATTAATCTGAGTCTGATAGAAAGCAGAAAAGTTGTAAAAATGAGAAAAAGAATTCCCCTCCCACAGACTGTCTCTCTGTCTCTAAGGGAGCTACTGCAAAGCAGATGGAAAGATAGTGGAAAGGAATCAAGTGAGGGCGGGGAGAAAAACAAAAGGCTAAGGAGTCCCGTAGCCCTTTCACCCATCAGAACCAGCAGTGTCCAAAGCAGGCATTCCTGGGCTATTATTTGCCTCTTTCTGGATTTGATCTGCCACTTTAATTACCTTAATGTTATGTGTGTCTGTCCTGATGGTTTGTGTGCAAGTGTGTGCATGTGTGTCAGCCTCTGTCCGTGTGCGTATGTGTGAAAGCAAGGGGGACATGCTTAATTAAAAAACAGAGGTAGGAGCGGCTCAGGCCATCTCTTTTGTTCTCCTTTTAAAAGAAGGGACCTGTTTCTGCGGTGTGGAAAAACCTGGGCTTTATTGTTAGTTTCTCTCTATGTATCTGTCTGTCTTTTGCTCCCTTACAAATGAAAGTAGTCTGGTTGGTTAGCAGAGCGAAGGAAGCCAGTGGGGGAGAGAAAAAGGAATGTTTCTTGGCTTGTAGTAATATGATCCACCTTAAAAGTAGGAGAAGTGGGCACTACAGCTGTGAAAGGTGTGAAAGCATGAGGGTCTGATTATCCCAAATTTTACACGGAGCAGCGAAAAGCATTGGAAAAAAATAGAATTATCATCATTTTACCATGCAGCTATTTTCAATTAGAATATGTTTAATGCCAAGCCGTTTCCATCATGTTTGATTTTCTTTGTCAATATATAGCTATGCTTCTGAATGACAGTGATATTCACAGCTCTCAGTCTTTGTTCACACACACACCGTAAACTATACCTTTGCCCATAATAAATTAAAGCTGCTGTTTACTGGAACTTTAATTGAACGGGTACTTTGTATCTATGCATAAGCACATTTAGTAAAAAAACTGCAGGAGTATATCCAGCTGTGAGCAAAAATAAGGATGTATTGTGTTCAACAACAGCATTAATCACAACACGGTGCTCTGTCAGTTGCTCCGTTGATGGCATAGGGAGTGGGTTCGGTGGCAAGGAAATAATGGGCACTTATGTTATTGTTTGCGGGCAGCACACGTGTAAACAGCCGCTAACCTGTAGTATTAGGGGGACTGATATGCCAGTGCCAAGTGCTTAACACGTTGGCTTAACCATAAGACGTAATTCTTTTTACTAAAGAGATGCATAATTCATAAAGCACAGGGTTTTATGTCCAAGCTACAATTCTAGCGGGGGTTGCTCCCCAATGAAATCAGCAGTGAAATGACACCACTGACAAGTAGTAAATCCTGTGGTATCTGTCGCATTAGCCCTCAGACGCACTGCTTCTGAGGAGCTTTACCCACCATCACATTTTAACACGAGTCTTTTCCGAGATGGACACTGAAGGGAAATATGAAGGACCCATATGTTGAACTACAACAGTGCAGGCAGAAAGCCTTAATTTGATCTAGCCAACAACTGAGCATGTCTGTTTGTTTGCGTTTAATTTTTACTCTTGTGGCAGGGTCAGTACAGTTGAAAATGAAGAAACTCATTCGTGCTGAAATCATTGTTTGAGTGTGTATTTTTACCACACATTCTTGTGGCATGACAAGAGATGAAGAGATAATTATTACAAAGGTTTATTTTCTCTTCTTTTTTTACACAGAGCCATGTGCTGTAAAGGAATGTAGTTTTTACGTCCAAGATGTTTGCCTTAAATAACAAAAAATATGGTGTGATGCCTTTGAAGTCTACCAAATATATTTATTTTTATTGGACTCATTGTGTTATAGGTAATATGGACAAAGACTGCAATTCTTTTAATAGAATTATGCTTTTCCTGTACTCTGACTGTGAGAAAGGACAAATGTTTGGGAGAATATTATGTTATAAAGATGTCTCACTCTTAATTCCTGCTTCCTAAAGTATCCACGCTGAATTGAAAAGCACTGAAATTGTTATTTTTTCCATCTTATGAATTTATCTTTAATCTGATGAGAAAAAATATGCAAAGGGACAAAAAGACAAAAAAAAACGTAATTTCTGTCTTCCCTTTAATCTGTCGCTAGTCCCATTGAATCATTTCTAGGATATGTCAGATTAAACCTGATTGTATCGCACGCACACACGCACCCTCAAAACACACTCCCACTCATGTTTGATTTCATTCCTCACGCTTTTACTGTCCCTCCCACCGGCTTTGTTTAGCCCTGGATTGTTGCGGATTAATCCTCTAATTGCTTTGTAGCTTTGTTGTTAGGGAGAGGCATTGGAGAAAAAGAGAGAGAATTAAGCAGCAGGTGGATTGGGTTAAAGGTTAACATGGCTCTTTAAAGCTTTCTTTTAATGCTAGCTCATTTACACACAAGCATCTGAAAGGAGCTGGTACTGTATCAAGTGAAAAGACCTATGATGGTACAAGTAGTTCTCATTTGTGGCATTTGCAGAACAGAAGTGTGCGCTTGTAGACTAAGCTAAATTTTGCCGCGTTGCTTTTGTGGGTCCTGTAGTGTTTGTGCCTTGTTGTGAGAAGTCAAGAGATTGAAGTTGTGAGGGGGTTAAAAGATGGGCACACACCCAGGATTGATAACATCTCAATGGTATTCCAAACATCATTCCTCTTGGAAGTTGATTCTTTCTCTCTTGGTCTTAGCTTTTGGTGACTTTCTGTCTTTCTTTAACAGTAAATGAATATAAAGATGAACATGTTCTTTTACTTTTCACGTATCCTGTTTATAATTGCTAAAAATGCTCACAATTTGTGCTTTTACATTTTCATTTTGTGCAGCTACTGCCACACAGTTGCAAAAACTGTCTGTCCAAACAGTGTACATCATATCTTCAGGGCAGTAATTGGTTGATATCCAATTAGTAACTCCTAAGATACTCGTAAAGACAATAAATAACCGCAGATTCCAGTCTACATATCCTCTTGGGCATCCCGAGATATTTTCTTTATAGCAGTTGTTTAACAGATTTGATTAATCATTACTCGCATTAAACAATAAAATATTGGCAAAGATTATCATCAGAATTGAAGGAGTTTTCAGCAACCTTTTCAAAACATTTGCCAAAGTCTAAAAGGGACTTCACTAATTAGAGACAAAAAAGTAACAAAATATTACAAAGGCATTCCTTTGATTGATTGACTAAATCTATTGCATTGCATGTGATGCTGAAAAACCTCTTCAGCATCACTTTTTGTTGTCCTATCTCAGGTTGCAACCAGGTTGAATGTGGGTTTATAATAAATTGGAATTATTTTGAATTCCCAACAGTGTTTTCAAATGATTGTACTTAAGTGGCTGTGTCTTTTCTAACTATGTTTTTCTTTTGTCATTTTCCATATCTTAGGTCCCTGTTGGGCTGGATGCGATGAGATCCATATGTAGTGGACGTCATGGCAACTTGTGACTCTCCCCCTATGGTGTCGTCACGGCAGCAGGAACATGGTGGCCAGAGGTTGGATGCTGCTGCTGATGACAACTCAGTCGTCTCCATGGAGACCAGTGTCACAAACAGCAACACTACCAACAAAAACCAATCGTCACCTGCTGCCATCGGAGAACCGGAGAATGGCCTTGGTGGGCCTGTTGTGAGCCCGATTCGGTCCACTACTACCCCCACCACTGTCAGTACAACTATTGACCCTGTAACTGAGCAGGGTCGGAGAGAAAGCTTTACCACCAGTAACAAAGGGAGTGTTACTGGAACTTTACCAGGAGTAGGAGGAGGAGCAGCTTTGGGTTCGGACTGTTCTGCCCCTGCCACATCCCCTGTGGCACCAGCAAAGGAGATCCCATGCAACGAATGTTCTAATTCCTTCTCCAGTTTACAAAAATATATGGAGCACCACTGCCCCAATGCCCGCCTGCCTGTTGCTGGAGGTCACGAGGATGAAGAGGAAGTTGATGGGATGATAGAGGAGGATAGTGAAGATGAAGGAGACCGTGAAATGGGTGCTGCAGAAGTTGGGGGTATGAACAGTGAGATGGAGATGGAAGAGGACAGTGATGTGGAGAACCTGTGCGGTGAGATCATCTACCAGCCCGATGGCTCTGCCTTCATCCTGGAGGACTCCAAAGAGCAGCGTGGCAACCATGGGGGGATCACCGGGGCTCATCAATACAGGGGCCTGACGTCCCCCCAAAACTTCCCCAAAGCTCAGGCCAACAGTGGTCAACATAGCCTGAGCCCAGGGGGGGAAAGTTTGGAGCAGCCCGCTGCACCCATGTCCTTCTACCCCCAGATCATCAACACCTTCCACATCGCCTCATCCCTTGGGAATAAATCCCTGGTGACCGACCATCCCTCCTTCCCAAATACCTCAGCTGGGGGGCTGGCGGGCACTGGTCCTGTGTTGCACAGTTTCCGTGTCTATGACCTCCGCCACAAGAATGACAAAGACTATCTTACGGCGGATGGTGCAGCCAAAAACTCCTGTGTGTCCAAAGATGTCCCAAACAATGTGGACTTGTCCAAGTTTGAGGGCTGTGTGGCCGATGGACGGCGGAAACCTGTGCTTATGTGTTTCCTGTGCAAGCTCTCTTTTGGCTACAGCCGTTCCTTCGTTACACATGCTGTCCATGACCACCGCATGACCCTGAACGAGCAGGAGCAGAAACTGCTGGGCAACAAGCATGTCTCTGCTATCATCCAGGGTATCGGGAAGGACAAAGAACCTCTTATAAGCTTTCTGGAACCAAAAAAACCCCAAAACTCTGTGCTACCCCACTTCCCCTCACCTGCCAACTTTCTAGGGCCAGACACGGGGCTTCGTGGCTTGTGGAACGCTTTCCACAGCGGCGGGGAGAATGCAGATTCTCTTCAGGCAGGTTTTGCTTTCCTGAAGGGCAGTGCCAGCAGCTCCTCCTCTGACCAAACCCCCAGAACCCAAAACATGCCAAAGGCTGAGACCAACCCAAACCTCGGGGGTGGGGCTGGTGCCCACAGAGCCCCTAGTGGGAGTTCTGCTGCTGCTGCCACTGGTGGCAGTCTGGAAACTCGGAACTCTGATAGTGACTGCAAAGGCCACGTTAGGGACACATGCACTTTGCAACCCAATGGGCCGGACCTGAGCCAGTACCCGTCCATTAAGCGGGAGCCCGGTACAGTGGGAGAAGAAAGTCCAGACCAGGATGACGACACTTACTCAAATGGTGGAGGAGTTGAAATGGAGGCAGACGAGGAGGAGGAACAGGCCATATCCATGGCCATGACTGGCCAGAGGGCCGACAGCACCAGTAGCAAAGATTTCCCTCTCTTAAACCAAAGTATTCCCCCCCTTTCCAACAGTGTGCTTAAACTGAATAGTGACAGCAAAGGCCCTCCATCCACCTCCTCTTCTTCTCTGCCAGTTTGTGAGAAGCTGGAGATGGAGAAGAGCCGTCTGTCGACTGCCCTGGCAGCTGCCAGAGAGCGGGAGAGCAGCAATGATTCTACCAGTGAAGGCCTAGCAGGAAGAGATGGGTCATCCCCATCCTCCAACCCCCTTGACATGATGCTATTGCGCAGAGATGACGAAAGTCCCGGCCCTATCCATCAACACACAGGAAATTCTAGTACACCTGGAACTCCGGGAACACCTGGAACTCCAGGTCCAGGTGAAGGATCCCCAGGTAGCGGGGTGGAGTGCCCCAAGTGTGACACTGTCTTGGGATCATCACGGTCTCTGGGAGGGCACATGACAATGATGCATTCAAGAAATTCCTGCAAGACACTGAAGTGTCCAAAGTGTAACTGGCACTACAAGTACCAGCAGACGCTGGACGCTCACATGAAAGAGAAACATCCAGAGTCTGGTGGATCGTGTGTGTACTGCCGCACAGGACAGCCTCATCCTCGTTTAGCAAGGGGCGAAAGCTATACCTGTGGATACAAGCCTTTCCGCTGTGAGGTCTGTCCATCCATTTTCCATCTTAATGCAGTTTCTTTTTTAATGTCTTTCCATCCTTTTTGTTTTTCCAGTACAAAAGTTGTTCCATGGCTTGCTTCTCTCTCTTTGTTTTGCAAATAAAATTGACAATATTTTATTCTCAATTATATTTTACAAACAGGCTGCAAGTCTAATTGCTCATATGGCTACAAGTAATTTTTTAGCTCTGACGTTAGTCCAATGAAACAGTTTTGATACAACAATGCCCTGAAATATTTACTGTCAATTCATCATCAGAAAGGAGGACAAAAACAGTTTATATTTGCTTGTTTTTAAAAGACAAACCAAGTATACTAAACTAAAGAAAACTTAAATTACAATGTTAAGTCATACATCAGATATGGCAAACTTTTCTGGTTCCATTTAACATTTACCATTGATGATTGCTATTAATGTTATTGCCCATCCTTTCCTTTTAGGTATGCAATTATTCAACCACCACCAAAGGAAACCTTAGCATCCACATGCAGTCGGACAAGCATCTAAACAATGTGCAAACACTCCAGAATGGTGGCAGTGAAGCACAATACAACCACAACCATGCCAACCCAGTGCCCACTGCCAGCCTTGGTGGAGGTTGTGGTGCACCCTCGCCTTCCAAGCCCAAGCAGAAGCCCACTTGGCGATGTGAGGTAATGACAGAAACAGAGCATCATTGTAGTACATTGATAGCAACATACCAATTTGCTTGTTGCACAGTCTACACAATGAGCCAGTTATTTCCCTGTGCGTCACTGTGTCTGTTATTTCTGTTGGCCACATCATCTGACCTCTAGTATTAAATAGAATGTTTTATACATACAAGCAATTTCTGCAAGAATTGGAAAATCTATTAGAAAGTTAACATCTTCACTGCAGTACTGTTAATACATTACAATTTTTTATTGTTGGGACTATGTATTTATTCTGCCGCTGCTGTCATATCTGATGTTCCTTGCAGACATTTTACGACTGTAAATTATTTACCTTATTATTATTGATTTAAATTTTGTTTGGAGAGTTAGATATATAGTTCTACTAATAAAACTGGTCGGATGGCTTAAAGCACAGCATTTTTCTTGTCCCCTCTCCATCAGGTGTGTGACTATGAGACCAATGTGGCACGGAACTTACGAATCCATATGACCAGCGAAAAGCACATGCACAACATGATGCTACTGCAACAGAACATGAAGCAGATCCAGCATAGCCTCCACATGGGCCTGGCCCCGGCCGAGGCAGAGCTTTACCAGTACTACCTGGCTCAAAACATGGGTCTTGCCGGAGTAAAACTGGAGAACCCAGCCAGCAGCGGTGGCCCGGACGCTCAGATGATGATTAACCCATTTCAGCTAGATCCTGCAACGGCTGCTGCCCTAGGATCTGGACTTGGTGAGTAGTGAAAGTAGATTTTGCACTATATTCAAAAGTCAATTTGACATATAAAAAGACAAGGTGTTCATTTTTATCATTATTAGAACAGTCTTTGTTGGGCCAACCTTTTTTTTTTTGCTTTACTGTGCTCATTTTTCTCTTGGCTGGTTTTACCTGTTTTTTTTATCTCATAATCGTATGTTATCTCAGTATTATTTTTTCCATCTCAGTTTTTTCTTCATTTGTCTCAGTGCCCCCTCACCTTTTTTCTATTCCACCCGTCTTGCCTCGAAACCGTTGCTTTGTCTTTCTCCCTTTTTTTCCTCCCTCTTATCTCTGCTCTCATATGGTACCTCTGTCATTGTCTCCTTTCTTTGACCCCCTCTCACTGATTAAAAAATGATTATGAGATGCCACATGAGAATTATTCTTAATCTTTCATTTGTAATTTTCTTAAGTCAGCTTAATCCCCACCACCACCACCACCACCACCACCATACACACCATGCAAACCTTAACTCACCCTGGAGAGAACACACATATACACACGCTCACACACACACTCTCACAAACAGCAGGAAGCGGATTCCCGTAGGAGGGAGAGAGATTTAACAATGACCCCGCAGTGTTGCACACCCACTCCCTCCTCTAGTGTGGAGGTCACAGCCCAGCTAGCAGATGTACTCCCAGTGAATTACACTGATAACACACAGCTCCCCATAGTGAGCACAGCTGTACATAGGTTTAATAGTGGGAGCAGGTTATTCATTTCAATTCAAACAGTGACCGAAACACGCGCATTCATCTATAGATTCTGGATCAACAACTATGCATACATACCCATATTTACTAAACAGTAGATTTTCACAATGCCGATTTTCGCTCACGTTTTGTCATCACATTTAAACAAGAGTGTTGCTTTTTAAGGCCGTGCTCACAACAACAACAAAAATGCCTTTGAACAAACATTCATTCATCCCTGAGTTGGTAAAATAATCACATGACATAATGAGTCAACTCACGCAGAAGCATCGGTGCATGTTGGGTGTCCAAAGAGACACGGCAAGCTTCCGTAACATGCATAAGGGGACAATGACAGGATCAAACGAAGGAATTAATTACATTTGCATGAATGGCAGATCTGTTTTTTTGTTCGAGGGTGGGCATAGAAAAAAGGCCAGCATGTGTAATGCATTGATCAGCTTTTGAAATCTGTGTGTGGATGGGGGAAAAGCTGAGAGCCCTAAAACCGTTGTCCCACCATTGCTGAGAGCAGTAATTAAAGCTACCTGATGAGCGAGTTAGCAAGTTGAAAAGGATGATTGTAATTGATCCTGATTCAATCCTATTAAGGTTTTTTATAGACAAGACTTTGCGAGGAGCCCGGTCCTCTGTGAGGCTTTATTTTATCAAATCCTTTTGTGTGAGAGAGGCATGCATGGAAGACTCTTTTTCCACACTTAATTTAATTTAATAATAAAAAGAAGTCATTTGCCTTTTTCTCTATTCTCCCTTTTGTCTGCCTTTCATTTTAACCACATTTTTGTATTTGTCATATTTCATTGTTTTTGTTTACCGTACTATTCTTCAAGCTGTTCATGTTGTCCACCTTCTCATTGACACACTATGATATTGTGCGTCCATAAACAACATATCTAATAGTTTTAGGTTTTTATTCATCATCATCTTAGCGTATGCTCATTTATTATGGACTTTAACCAACGTTTTCAATTGTTTCATCCACAGTGAATAGTGACCTATCGGCAGAGTTGCGTCTGGCCAGTGGTCAGCTGATGGCAGATGACTTATCCCTGGTGTCCTCAGGTGGAATGGGGGGCATGTCCTCAGGAGACCCCTCTCTCTCCTCCTTGTCGCCGCCCATCAACGACCCCTCGCTGCGCCTCTACCAGTGCGCCGTGTGCAACTGGTACTCCTCAGATAGCCTGGAGGCCCTCAACGCCCACGTCAACGCGGAGCGCTCCCTGCCCGAAGAGGAGTGGCGCTGCGTGGTGGGTGACGTCTACCAGTGCAAGCTCTGCAGCTACAACACGCAGCTCAAGGCCAACTTTCAGCTGCACTGCAAGACCGACAAGCACATGCAGAAACACCAGCTGGTGGCCCACATCAAGGAGGGAGGCAAGGCCAACCAGTGGCGACTAAAGTGTGTGGCCATCGGCAACCCCGTGCACCTCAAGTGCAACGCCTGCGACTACTACAGCAACAGTGTGGATAAACTGAGACTGCATGCTACCAACCAGAGGCATGAGTCCGCCGTCCGCCTCTATAAGGTAAAGACATATTACCACCTCTTCACACCGCAAAAATCTGTTCCATTATGATAGGTTGTTTACAGCGGGGGAAAAGAAAAACTGAAAACTCCCAATGACAAAATGCCACAGGAAACATGTTTCTATCAGAAAAAAATCACTCCATCTCATATAGTAAGATACTGTTTTCTGACTTCCAAGGAAAAAAATGAAAAGCGCAAACATCCATTTAAATGGAGTGCCATAAAGTTCCCATGAGAATTAAAGGACAAAGATAGAAAAGGTCACACTTGGAGTACTAAGGATAATTTTCTGATATGGTTGCACTTCCTGCTACTGACTTGCTGGCATAACTGTTTCTCTGAATCACAGACAAAGTCACATTCTCGCAGTCAGTTTCGGATATTTTAGAATTATCTTCGGTCGTCTTTTTAGCTTATATTTTAATCTAAATTGTACTCATGTTGGAATTTAAAGCACGAACGGGTGAAAGTTGATTACCTGTTACTGATTAAATGGATTTTCAAGTTTGTGTACAGACACACAAGTGAATAGTTTCTGCATTTCCTTAGAATCTGTATAAATATGAAAGTTATTTTCGTTACCGTACAATTTTCTGACTGGTATCATTTTCTTGACTATAATTTTGGTATTCTAATAAGCCATCACAAAGGTATTCTAACACATTCACTTAAGAATTTAAATGTTCACACTTTGAGCAGTAAACAGTCCCTGCAAAGAAATTCCAACATGCCCAATATTTGGCATCTCTCCCTCCGCCTATATATTTTGGGTGATTTAGTTTGTCAGACATCTCCTTTAGCTTAATAGGATGCTGGTACATTTGCAAGGCCTTGACCTACACAACGAGATCAAGTGCATTACATTAATGAGGATTTCTTTACAACTTATGCAATGTTTGGCAGTGTTTGTGCGTGTTTGTGGATTTTGTGCCGTAAATGTAAAGAAAAAAGCAGCGAATAAAAGATAGAAGAGGATGTAAGCAAAATAAGGTTATATTTTCTTTAAAATGCATATTGAACATTATATTGATTCGTTTTAACATATTATTAGGTTTTACTTATTTTGCACAATAAGTTATAATTGCTCACTCTATTTGAGTCAAATTCCTTTTTACTATTGAAATTCAATTAAATTTGATTCAGGTTATTACATTTGATCGTAAGATTTTTTATTTTCCAGCATTGCCCTTACAAATGTACTCTACTGACCTTTCAGATCTTTGTCAAGATATTTTTGTTGATGGGAAATACTTTTTTTTAGCTTGAAACACTCAGATTTATTTAAAGATATCAGAGGGTTTTTTAGTTACAGTTTCAAGACTTAACTGGATTAAGCTAATTGACATTCTTAGGGTTATCTAAAAGAGTCTTAGCTGGCTTCAACAGGATGTTCACATTAACACAGGATTGTCCGGCAGTCTGGCAAAGCCTCAACTTGGTATGAGATGAATTAGAGACGTCACTGCTTGAAGGAAACTTCTAAATTCTCGGCAAACGTGCTGTTTGTACATTGTATTACCTGAGGACCTGGCATATTGAATCAGCATGATTAGTTGACTCGAATTGGGATCTCCTCTTTTTCTGTAGGAGAAAGACTTGAGTTTAGTTTGTGTGTCCCTGTGTCCACACATACTCAAACTCTGTGTTGAGCTATTTCTTTTGTTGTTTCCTTTTCAAGTCGATTTGATATGCCGCAATTGCCAGATAAGTTACAGTTAAACTTTGGCAGCATGCGGTCATTCAAAAAGCTGTTAACAATCACGTGCGATTAAGTGTACAAATCCAAGAAACACTTTTAAATTCAGGGAAATGTAGCAGAGCTACTTTTTACTTTTTTCCAGATAACTTGAGCCACATAAGAGATAGTCTTAGGTGGACACAATCACCAGTTTAGCCAAGTGAAGGGCATCCCAATGCCCCCTGAGTGCCCCCTGAGCACCCCTTTACCTCATCTACCCACCCACTTACTCCGCAGGCCTCAACAAATCTGTTTCACAGATGACGCTTTTAATGCCTCTGGCAGAAATTCCACTATTTTACCCTTGGACATGTGGTGGTAGAGCAGAGCGAGAGGGAAAGACAAAGCATAGACGGAGCAGAAAGAGCAGCAGAGTAAAAGCAGAGGGAAAAAAAAGTCATTTCTTTATTTGACCAGAAAAACACCTCTCCTTTTATGTATTGGCAGAGGTGAAAAGCCCATGAGGATAGAGGTAGCTTTGCCGGGCGCATAAAAGATCCGAGTGTTGACGACTTTACCATCTGGCTTTTTGGAAACAGAGAATATCTTTATGGCATGGGAAACCATTTGAAGATGCAAACAAAAAGCATATTCAGGCAATTTTATGGCTGCTTTGTAGCAGCAATGGAGTACTTCTGAAGGGAATTGAGAGTTTGAAAGTGTTTTTTCCAGACTTTGAAGCAACAAAAGGGAAATGGCATTAGCAGCTCATGGACATTGGATCATCTGGTGTCTAGGGCACAGTAGGTGGCGCAGGAAGTTACAGGCCTTACATGGAAATAGCGGACATCTACACATCCTATTGTGATTGACCCTGGTTCGTTCACCAAAATACTTTGACTCTGGGAATTTTGATCCCATATGATTCAGGTTTTCGTTGGAAACCGAATGTGTGCAGAACCAGCCTTCTGTGCAGCTGCTATGGCTATAAAACGCTGTTCTTTATTCATCTAGAAACGTTATTAATGACAAAATGGAAGATGTTCTTACACAGAGTTTGTGTGCTGGCTGCCTGTGAGGTAAGCTCCGAGTTAAATGGTGCTGTAGCACAGCGTGTCCATAGCTGGCCTGGCTTGTGTTTAACTTTAGCATCCAATATGATGATGTATGGTTCCGTTATGATTTTTAATAACAAACACTGACCTTAATACACATGGAGTTGGTAGTAAATCTGTCAGTGCCATTCACAAGTGCCGACTGGCTAAGTGAGGGGTTTAATTTGTAGTGAACATGTGTGTTTGTATGCATGTGTCCCTGCAGAGCTTTGAGGTTGAGATCTGGCTTGTGCTTGCCCCTGGGTCATTAGGAGTTTAGAATGTTCATGGTCGATGTGGCATAGTCCAGGACCACACGCACATGAGCACACTGTGCGTCTCAGAGACCGTGGCACCTGTTGTTCAGATGGCCGTCCTTATAAATCTTAAACTGTCCTCAACCGCTGCCATTCTGTCCAACTTTCCATCATAATTTAAGCAGAAATGGACGTCCGGGGTCCACTTCACTTTTCCACTTCACCGTGATGCTTCTCGTTGCTTGTCCGCTCCCATTACGTTTCTCGCCCTCATCTTTAAACTAAGACCTTTGGGTTGATAAAATGCTTCTAATTTTCATGATAGAATTAACAGAGAGAGAGACAGCACATATATTTAAAATGCCTCTTTCTCACCTTCTCGAGCGTGTTTACCATCCCCTAACTTACCTCCTTTGTTTAGGATCTGGCCTTCTTTCCCTCTGTCCCCCTTGCCCTGCCTGTCTCACCCCGGGTTGCAACAGATAGGCCATCTCATTACCCATGATCCTCTTGGCAACACTGGTTTGGGATCACAGAGTGGGGCTAATTAAACAGGGGGTGCTATGGGAGGGGGGAGAGATGGGAGGAGAGAGGATTTGTGAATACATTTTAGTTATTCATTCTCTCATTTATGTGTCTCTTTCTTTATCTGTTGCCTTCTGTATCAGTCAGGGAACATTTTATGTCCTTTAAGTCATCCATTTTTTGACTACTGTCAGGTTTAATTCCTTTCCATCTCCGTCAGATGGAGGTGGCTGTGTGTCTGCATCTGGGACATTAAATCTGCCACCGCACCGTGGCTATTAGGAAGGGTCAACTGTGATCGCTCTCATTTCAAAATCAAATGGCCCTATATATATGCAGCCTAAATTATTGGACTGTCATTTGGAAGTCTTGTGATGAGGAAATGGACAGGAGATTGACTCCCATAGATTTGCATAAAAAGTCATTGTGCTGGTCCCTGGAATAGAAAGGCCCGTATCTATTTTGAATACATGGCACCATTTATAACACACACATTCGTACACTCACACTCAGAAGTACAGGCATGTACATTTAGATGTATGGTACTCCGTACATTCATAAAGACACACTGACACACAGCTGTGGTTATCAAGTTACCATTTTCCACTTGAGTCTGTATATGCCTGTCGCAGGCTCCGGCAGTTGATCAGTGTCCTTGTTGCACTCAGAGAAAGACTTAAAGAGTTTCTATTTTCTTCAGAAAGGAATCTTCTCAGACACTTCTCACCAACTGCCACTTGACTGCAAGTTATAGATTTCCATGTGCTGTTATAGAGGTGGATGACACCACCAAGAGTTCAGCGCTTTTAGCCCGTGTAGACGGATGACTTTTATTTCTGATATCAGAAATGTCCGTTTGTCCCCCCTTTCCCTTTATCTCTGTCTCTGCAAGGCAAAGAGACGCCAGTTAGTAGATTATTCAAATAGTCTCCTCTTTCACCTGCATGGCGATTACAATGGAAATCTTTCAGAGGTCTGGGGGCGGGGGACTGGGGTGATGGCTAATTAAAGCATAAAAGCAGGTGTGTGTGTGTGTTTGCAAGTGTACGCTGTGGCTTTGTGTTTGAGGGTGAGGTTTGAATGGATGGACGTCCCCACCCTCCCCCCTTCTTCCTAATAATCCTCATAGATATTAATAAGAGTTTCGCCCATTCTTTCTCCAACGCCTATACCAGATGGTCGGCAGAGCATTTGTCTTTGTGTGTGTGCATGTGTGTGTGTGTGTGTGTGTGTGTGTGTGTGTGTTGTGTCCAGCTTTAGTTGAGCTTTTGGTTGACACTCAAGTGTGATGTTTAATTATCCCCACATAGCCAACCCCCTAACATTTATTCTACTTTCTGACTTCCACTCTCTGAGTTAAGGCCTAACCACTGCATTATATGTGCCTTTTCGTTTCCCCTTTGGAAAGATTTTTTTGTGTGTGTGATACCAAAAAAATACACAC